CAGTGGCCTCCGAGTGTGGTATCTTTGAGCAGAATCGTGGCAGCTGCGAGTTGTTTGGGCTTGCGAAAAGGTCGATTGAGTGGGGACCCCAACGACGATTGAGGATGCGGAACCATGGTTGTTTCAAGGAGTAATCGTCGTGGTCGATCATTTTGGACAGCTCATCTGCATGGGAGTTTAGCTCGCGCGGGATCCATTCAACAATTAATCGAGTGCCGAGCTCCATGCACGTGCGGATGATGTCCTTGCAAGCGGTGGTGAGGTCGGGGGTGCGAGAGCCGCCTTTGCGGAGGATGAAAAAGACCCCTTGGTTGTCCACCCTCACGAGCACGTGTTTTTGCTGAACCTTGTTCGCGTACGTTCGAAGGGCCCAAAGGACGCCTTCAATTTCCCTCCGAGTGCTGGACGTCATTCGCAATGGTTCTGGCATGGCTGCGCTTGCCTCTTCGAGTTCACCAGGGAAAGTGAGAAGGGTGGCGCCCCAACTATGAGAGCTGGCGTCCACGTGAATTACCGCGTCATAACTATTCCGAACGTGGAATGGTGCGCCATTAAATTTGTCGAACTCTTCAAGCCAGAACTACAACTCTTCAGCAACGGGGGGGGAAATGCTCAAGCTGCTTCCCCAGGATGGCGCGTCGTTAATTGCTTGTAGCATGGCGTGGCTGAATGCACGCGTCGTGGCGCCGAGTGCGACGGCCATCGACGCGAGTGTGCCGGTGATTCTGGCCAGGTGGCGGACTGGAACCTGTCGGCGCGCTTTGCTTGCGTCCAGTAGGTTCCGAATGTGTGCGTGAAGTGATGCCCGTCGATCGGTGCCAATTGAGAATTGACCAGATTTGGTGTCCAACTCGACGCCCAAGAATCGCAGATGTTGGGATGGCAGCAGCTGCGACTTTTTCGCGTTAATCACCAAGCCCGCCATCTTGAGGTCCGAAATTATATGCTGGCATGTTGCTTGTGCGTGGGCCTTGGACGTGCATAAGAACAGGATGTCGTCCACATAGGGTATCACTCGAACGCCTTGTTCACGCCAGCGCCTGGCTAGTTGTTTGATGAGCTGCGTGAAGACAAATGGTGCCGTGGCGAGGCCAAAGGGTAGTGAACGGAAGGCGTACGTACGCCCTTCAAATTCGAAGCCCAAGAATTTCCAGCAAGAGTTGTGTATGTCGATATGGTGGTATCCCGATTTGAGGTCGATGGAGAACATCCAATCTCCCATGCGTGCCAGGTCGGCCACGCGGCTTAGGCCTTCGTATTTGAATTTAGGGATGGTCAGGTGCGCGTTCACTTTTCTGAGGTCGAGGATTAGCCTGCATTTTTCTCGTTGCTCAACCACGTTGAGTGGGCTTATGCATGTGAGCTCCGCTGCTGGGGTGACCACCGCCGCGCCGGTCTCGGTAAGTTCGCGAATGGCAGTGCGTGTGAACGCAGCATGCGTGTGCGCCCCGAGGTGGTTGCGCTCGTGAAACGGTTGTGGTGGGTTGTGGCTCCATGGCAGCCAGTAACCGTTAGCGATGACGGAGAGGATGAGGCTGCTGGGGCACCACGAGCTCCACCATGCAAGGGTTGCGCGAAGCCGCCCGCGCATTTGCGTGACAGATTTGTCAGTGACGGCGAACTCGTACGGATCTCCGTCGCCTAGCGTCTCGTGTCGTGTTATCTCTGCATGTTTGCCGAGTGACAATGGCGCAGAGGTGTTAGAATGCAAGCCATCGTGTCTCAGGAATGTGCATGCGATAACGCGTGCGTAGACACATCAACAAGTCGTAATCATCGTTTGTCACCCATGTGTGACGCGGTTCGCCTCTCTCTCCCCTCTCGCTCTCTCTCTCCCTCTCTCCCTCTCTCTTTCTCTCTCTCTCTCTCTCTCTCTCTCTCCCTCTCTCTCTCTCTCTCTCTCTCTCTCTCTCTCTCTCTCTCTCTCTCTCTCTCTCTCTCTTTCTTTCTCTCTCTCTATCTCGCTCTCGTTCACTCTTTGCATTTGCTCTTGCTTTCCCTTTATCCATGACATGCCTTTTTGGCTCGTGGCCAATATAAAGGCTACCAATGCCAACAAATGGTGGGGCCGTTTGCTCGGGTTCGTGTGGGTGCTTGCCATTTTGTCGCTCTCTGGTTTTTTTTTTTTTTTTTTTTTTGTCATCCAAAGCCAAGATCAGAAAGTACTTTTTAAAAAATAAAGCCCTTATAAGAAACGGGCCACACATAGCCATGCTTCCTAGCATGCATCCGCCCCGCACCGCACGGGCCAAATTATGAGACCAAAGGGCTTTCTAGTCCCTCTCCTGCCACCTAGGCCTATAGCCTAATCATCACCCCTAACTAGGGCTTGGCTCATAGCCACCGCAAACCCCTTTGGGTTGCCCACGGTCAACGCACTTGACGTGCACCGTGCCACGCGCGCTAAGGCGCAAACGCTCAAGGACCATCCCTACACCACGGGTGCGGGTCCTTGGCCACCATTGCCATTCCGCGGGCAGCCACTTGCCACATGCCCCGGCTGGCCGCAGCGGAAGCATGTCCCACGGAAGCCGTGGAAGCTCCCCATAGGCGGGCCGCGCTTGGGGTTGAACGCCATGGGCCCGCGACCTCCGCCGCGGTGGGATCGAGCGTGCGCACCCTCCGCGCGATCTATCGCTGCCACGTCGGCGACGGCTTGCTTGAACGGGCGGGAGGTAAGGAGGCTCTTCTGCTTGTACATCTTGAACCGCTTGGCGACGCGATCGTCGGTGGCGTCCTCGACTTGAAGCATGTCGTAGCGCTCCGAAATGTAGTCGAGGGCGCTCGCGACCATTTCAAGTCCGCCCGCCGCGTCGCCGCGCTGCAGTTTGTACTCCGCGTGCTTCAGGTAGGCCCTCAGGTCCTCCAGGGGCTCCACTTTTGCTCGCACGAGCGGGTCAATGAAGTTTGCCGCCGAAAAAGTGGGGTTAGTGCAAGGGAGGGGAGGGAGATTTTCCATGGGGGGAAAATTTGTTGTGTTGTTCGGAGCCTCACCGGCGTCGTCGTCTGAGTCGTCGGAGTCGTTGTTGACTGCTGCAGCTTCAGGAGCGCTGGTAACGGCCTCCTTGTCGTGGCGGCGCGTTGATGGTCCTTTTGCTCCTTTTTCCTTTTTTGCAATGTCGTTTTTAGCCGATGCAGATGCCGCAGGTTGTGTAGTTTCGGCGGCGATCGCGCTAGCGGGGTGCTGCTGTAACAGGGACAGGAGGGCCTTGACTTGGTCCGGGGTCAACGCCTCGGTCAAGGCCTGGTCAGCCGTCGCGTCAGACGAGGCAGCCGTACGGCGCCTCTGGCGCTGACGCGACGGCCGGCCGGAGGCGTGTGCCGCTGGCGCGTGCTCCGCGTCCGCGGCGTGTGTCGCCACGTTCGCCACTGGCGCCACAGGCGCCACTGGCGCCACAGGTGCCACTGGCGCCACAGGCGCCGAAGGGTGCTGGGGGTGCTGCTCGGCGTTTTTGTTGACTTCGAGCCCGCCCAACAGCACGTCCACGGCGGTCGGGGCGGATGTTTCGCCGTCTGCCCGGCGCTTGTTGCGACGCTCGCCCGTCGTTTCACGGGCATTACGGTCGTTGTCGGAAATTATCGGGTCGTCGGCAACGATGTTGTTAGCACGGTTAAGCGTCGGCGTCGCAGCCATCGTTGAGCGGTTTTGGTTAAGGATGTCGGCTAATAAAGTTGAAGGAGAAACGCCTCTAGGTAATGAGCGAGTCCTCGCCAGCTTGAACGGTAAAACTAGAAGTGAGCTCGAGAAAATGGAGTTGCATGAGCCGTTGGAAAACGAGAGACGTGGGTGGAGGGAAATGAGCTCCAACCCACGATTTGTAGTTGGAGAAGGGCGTTTAGCGCGCTTCGACGATGCCAAAACATGCGTTACAAGCAGCTGCGCTTTCGAAATACGTAATTTTGAAAAACACTTCGTGTGTTTAAAAATTATAATTTAGAAGCGCACCCCCCCAAAAAACACTGTTTTATTATAAGCGCACCTGCTCTTTTATCCGGGGTAATACGGTATGTATTGGGGAAGAACATGCATGACAAGTGCATCAAGCAAGGTTAGCCGGGAGGAAGCAAATGGAAGAGCGGTATGTGGGAAGAGGATGCAAAGAAGGGTGCAGGAATTGCTTGTGGAAAGAAGCAGATTCGGTATGGAATCAGATTTTTCAGAGAATGTCATCAGGGTTGGGGTGTATATGCTATCAGTGGCGCGTCAAAATGCCAACTACGGAACCATAGCAGCTCCCACTTGATTCAAATTCGGAACCATAGCAGCTCCCACTTGCTCTCAAGGCGGCCAGCGTCGGTAACGTTATCTAGAGCCTGAATTCTTTCTGCCACTCTTCACCTCAACTGACGGTGTGCGTGAGCAGGACAGGAGAGACAGTGAGCCAGTTGTGGCGTGTGTGGTGAGTGCGCAGTGCGTGTGGCGAGTGTCTGATGTGTGTGGTGACTGCCTGGCGTGTGTGGTGAGTGCGTGATGTATGACAATTTCAGATTCAGAACACCAAGATTCTTTTCACGACCCCATACTAACTTTCAATGCCTTCAGCAAATGCATGGTAGCAGCAGATATATTTGCGATTACAGAAGAACCAAAGGAGCACCCAGTTCCGCTACCAACCATGCACTCACACCACACACGCCCACCTAACTCTTTCACCCACACACACCACCTAACCCTTCCACCCCCCCACACACACATACCTCTCCCAGCAGCATCACCAGGACAGAACTAAGCAACCAAGTTTGCAAACCGTGCCACTTGCAAGCCACATCAGCAGCAACAGACAGAAGGGACCGCAGCAGCAGGCAGAAGCACCGACAGCAGTGGAGGCAACAGCAGCAGCAGGAGCAGCGTATGGAGTGCCTTGTCTGCCGCTGCAGAACCCCACTGCACCGAGCTGCTACCAGCAGCAGGCACCATACCAGCTGCGCTGCTGCCCTGCCTGCCGCTGCCCAACTCCACTCCGCCGTGCCTCTCACCCCTCCAATCTCCCCTCTCCCACTTAGATCATCGTTTTCGCGGTCTTGACGAACGAGCCAGCGCCCGCCTGCAGGGCACCCTTGGCGCCCTTGCCGCTGCGGAACGCGTTGACTGCAGCCGTGAGCGCCTCCTTGCCGCCCTTCTTCACCACATTCTTCACCAACCCTCCCGCCTTCTGCCCCGCCTCGCTCTTCGCCGCCTGATTCGCCGCGTTCTTGATCTTCTTCCAGCTCAGCAGCACCCGCACCGCCTCGTCCAGCCCGTCGTCCGTCGCCTCCCCCACCTCCTCCTCCTCGCCACCCACGTCCAGGTCACCGCCGCTCGCTTCCAGCAGCTTGCGCCCCCAACTCGCCGCGTCCTCGCCCGCGCTTCCCCCAGCAGCGACGTCGCCCCGCAGTGGCGTGGACGCGGCATAGAGTGCGGGGAGCGAGACGAGGACCAAGGCGAGGATGAACACGGTGCGAAGAGTGGCCATGGTGACGAGCGATTTAGAGAGCGTAGAAGCGTCGGATTATAGAAGAGAGCACTGCGAACGACGATAAAGATCAGATTTGGGTGACTTTCGAGCCCTGAGAGAAGCACTCGGTTGGTGATGGTGAATGGCGGAATGGAAGCGACTTAAGTAGCGGCGAAAGACCAGGAGGAGGAGGAGGCGAGCACGATGGTCGCCAGCACGATGGTCGCCAGCATGATGGTCGCCAGCATGATGGTCGCCAGCACGATGGTCGCCAGCATGATGGTCGCCAGCATGATGGCCCCCTCCCAGCATCGCGCGGTTATCGCTGGCATGGCTCCGCCGCAAAACGCGCAACATCCGGAGAAAGCTGTACTACTTCTGGGGTGTGGCAGAGGCAATCGAGTTGGACGGCAGCGCGGCAATAATGGCTTGATTCAACTCATCGCCTCACTGGCATAGGGTCTCGCCTCGCCAGATCGCCAACAAGGGATTTTTTAGAGAGCAGAAGGTGAGGGTTGGGTGGGGAGGAGAGGAGAGGAGAGTGCCGTCTGTACCGTCGTACGCAGTAACCTAGTTCTCTCATTATTGTTCGCATCATGGCGCCGCAAAATGCGCAAAGAGAAACTGTCGCGTGGGGCGTTGGATGCGGCACGCTGGTCAACGAGGACTTGAGTCGAGAGCTCAATGCCAAGAGAGCTCCGAGACCAGCGGCGGCAATAATGGCTTCTGGTGGGAAAGAGTTTTTCGAAGGGGACGAAGCAGGGGTGTTCGGGAGCGCGTTCAGCGGGAGAATGGCTTGTTTGCGAACCAGCACTAGTCGAACACCAGCCACTTCGATAATGCGTTGGCGAACGACTCGACGAGAAGCGAAACCAGTTACTTTTGTAAAAATGGCCGGGCGATCGAAACTTCCAGTGTTCAAACGCAGCGTCTAGAACAGGCCTCCGAACGAAGCCCAGGTACTTCTCGTTTCGTTTCTCGTCGACCAATTCGCTGATACTTTGTTGGGCTGGCTGCTTTCGTTGGGATCGAGCTGCCTGGGAAACCAGCCCCGAGTCCCGACCCGAGTCCCCGAGCACTCCTCCATCCATCCTCCCCTCCACAAACAAGTACCCGCTGAGAGCCATTCTTCCCGCGCTGCTGTTGATCTCGAAGCTTCCTCTCTTGCACCATTAGCTCTCAAACCCAGGAGCACAGCAGCGTGTGTCCTCGTTACCAGCGTAGCATCCCAACGCCTCACGCGGCAGTCGCTCTTTGCGCATTGTGCGGCGCCATGATGCGAGCAATAACTGCGAGTTTCTGGAATGAAAGAACTAGGTTTATGCCGCTACGGTACAGACGGCGCACTCCTCTCTCCCCACCCAACCCTCGCTTCCTGCTCTCGAAATCTCTCGAAAATCACCTCCTTGGCGATCTGACGAGCCCATTGTTTTGAATGAACTAGCAGCCATTATTGCGGCCGCGCTGCCGTTCATCTCCGACTCAAAATCTATCCTAGCACGAGCGCGCTAGCGTGCAGAGCAGTAGCTTTCTCCGCATGATGCGCGTTGTGCGGTGGCGCCATGCCAGCAATAACCGCGGGCTGCTGGGTGGAGTGCCATCATGCTGGCGACGCACCACGGATCCCTTCACCACCCTCGCGGCCTCCTCCTCGTCTTTCGCTACTTAAACCGCCTCAATCCAACCAATCACCATTGCCAACTGAGTTGCTTCTCTCAGTGCTGAAAAAACCAGCCGAATCTGATCCTCATCATCGCTCGCAGTGTTAATCTCTAGAATCCGGCGCGACCGTTACCATGGCTTCTCTTCGCTCCTTGTTCGTCCTCGCTCTGATCCTCGTCTCCCTTCCCGCACTCTACGCCGCGTCCGCGCCACTGCGGGGCGATGTCGCTGCTGGGGGAAGCGCTGGCGAGGACGCGGCGAGTTGGGGCCGCATGCTGCTGGAAGCGAGCGGCGGTGACGTGGACGTGGGTGTCGAGGAGGAGGAGGTGGGGGAGGCGACGGACGGGCTGGACGAGGCGGTGCGGGTGCTGCTGAGCTGGAAGAAGATCAAGAACGGGATCAAGAACGCGGCGGGCAAGGCGGGAGGGCTGGCGAAGAAGGTGGTGCAGAAGGGCGGCGTTGAAGCGCTCAAGGCGGCGGCCAAGGGGTACAGCAACGGCGGCATGAAGGGCGCGCTCAAGGCCGGCGGTACCTCGTTTGCTAGCACAGCAAAAACCATGGCGTAGGGTGAGGCGGGCGAGACGGTGGTGCGTGCTGCTGCTGGTGGCAACATGGTGCAGTGGAGTTCTGCCAGCTGAGCTGACGTGGGGTTGTAGAAAGGCGTTGTGCTGCTGCTGTTGACGGTTGCTTGGTGATGCTGCGTATGTGTGTTGGGGAAAGGGGGGTTGTGTGAGGGTGGGAGGGTTAAATAGGTGGGCTTGTGTGCAGGGTTGGTGGATTTTGGTGTAGTGTGTGTAGCTTTTGTGATGCTGTAATTTCAGATACATCTTCTATTTTGCTGAAGCCTAGTGTTGACTGTGGAAGGCGTCCTGAACATGAATCCGTCACTCTGCAAGCACTCACCAAGCACAGTAGGCATTTGCCTAGAATTTGAATTGAAATAAATTAATTTGCCCTAACAAATTTCATAGCACAAGCAAGTATCATACGGTAATATATCTACCAGTCTATAGAAGGACTTGGGTTTTTAGTTTATCGAGAAGCACTACTGGACAAAATTTGCTCCGAAGGCACTGTTAGCGCTGCTGGGGACTAGTTACGTGGATTTTCAATCTGAGAGCGTTCACTTCTTACGCTCAAAAGGAATTCCGACCCTGATTGGTCAAAACAACAAACAGACGATGACCGTCTGGATAGACGGTCATCGTCCACGTCGACCGGTCAACGTCATTATTCGGGCAAAAAAATATACCCTCTCAGGTTGTATGCCATTCAGGGAGTCATCAACCCTAAACACCAAGCGGCAAGGTGTTTAGGGTTGATGCTGCTCATTGGTGTGTATTATTTTTTCCTGGCGAATTTTTGGGAGGGGTCAACCCTAAACACGGGAACCCGTTTGGTGTTTAGGTAAGATCCATTCCCATCGGGGCTGTTTTTTTAGTACGCATTTTCGAGTGAGATCAATCCTAAACACTTGCCACATGGTGTTTTGGGTTGATACTTCCCCAATCGGATTTTAGACCAATCCCTTTCGACTTCCGAACGAGCATAATAAGTGAACGCTCTCAGATTGGAAATCCACGTAACTAGTCCCCAGCAGCGCTAACAGTGTCTTCGGAACGAAGTTCGTCCAGTAGTGCTTTTCGATTACCTAAAAACCCGAAGGACTTCTACAGACGTAAACAAACATGACCCGCCCAAGTACAGCGAATAGGACGCGGCACCTCAAGCAATTTTGCACGATCGATTGCAGGATCGCTGATTCAACCGTACTGAAATTCTGCTGAAAGCTTTTAAAGCTTTTGAAACCATTCAAAACTCCTAAAACATTCGATCCTGCGCATGATCGATCACAGGATCGGTGCTGGAGGTGCCGCGTCCTCATGTTCACAAAAGCGGCGTGAACTGTCGACACGCTACTGTACTACCCACGCTTTTGTCCTCTGCAACCCACAGAACCAGACTCTGTAATAAAACAATCTCAGCGGCGGTACTCTCCTTTAACCACGCCTCACTGTGAATATTCACAATCGTAGGTGAAGTGAACTGAAGGCAGCTTCTGAATTCTTGCAGCCCGTTAGAGGCACGCACGTATGGCTCCTCCAATGGCCAACGCCGTCGCTGATCGCGGCGACGGATACCGCCGTGCTCCGCTTAAGCTCTCTCCGTCCGAGGATTCGTTCGGGTTCGCAACAGCGTCGGTCGCGCAAAATCCTTTTGAGGCGCCTCAGAAGTCCCGCCGAGCTCCGCCGCCTGAACACGCCACTCCGGCGTGCAAAGATTCGTGCGAGTTCGCAAAGTCGGTCGCGCAGGAGCTTCAGGAGGTGGAGCTGCTCGTCGCGCGCGTTAAATCGCAGCCGAATCCGCCTGTGGCCCTCCGAGACCTCGCGTTCCACGTGGAACAAATAGCTCGCGTACGGATTCCGTGGCCGTGGCCTACAGATTTGCTGTCCCGTTCAGAATTCCTTACTTTGGTCACGCGAACATGATTCTAGTAGCTGCAGTAAACGGCGTTTTTTTTTTTTTTTTCCAGTTGCCTGCTTTTCATGAATGCTGTTCGTCTCCGCTGTCACTTTTCTGTCGAGAATATCCATGTGGTGGTTTCTCACGTGATGTCGGAATGGCATGATATCGTATGGCATTGCGTGGCATGGTATTGTATCACACTACATGGCATGACGTCGAGTGGCATTGAATGGCATGGCACTGCATGTCATTGCATGGCATTGCGTGTCATTGCGTGTCATTGCGTGTCATTGCGTATCATGTTAACTTGTTAGTCTCTAGAAACGGACCTCCGGCGTGACTTGGAGCCTATAGACCTCTTGAAGCGATCCACCTTCAAACGCGGACAAGGGTGAGTGAGGTCTTAAGAACACGATGCACATCTTCGTTTTGAGTACAGCACTTTCTCGACAGCAACCTCGCACGTAGCAGCAGTCAGGCTGTGACATTCATGATGGGTCCCTCTATAACGGGTCTGTGACACCCCAGTGGGTCCGTCTATACCAGCAGGATGACATTCAGTGAGTCTTTCTATACCACGTCTGTGACATTCAGGACAATTATGCCCTCGTCCCCACCACACGTACCCTCACCTTACCCTCCCTCCTTCACTTCCCCCCCACAGGGCCATCAGCTCTCTGCATGCTCTTCACACCATCGCTGCCAGCTTAATTCCTACCGCCACCTCTCTGCTCCCTCCGCCTGACGGACCAGAGGTCAGCGGAGCAGCGGCAGCAGCGGCGGGAGCAGCAAGGGCAGCAGCAGGAGGAGGAGCAACAGCAGGAGCAGCAGAAAGGCAAGTTGCAGCAGGGGAGGCACGGGCGGTGGTGAACGCTCACACGGTGGATGTGCTGCTGTCGTGCCTGCACAGCACTGCAAGCCAGAACACTGTGAGTGAGTGGGTGAGTGAGTGATGGGCAGTGCAGACAGTAACATAAATGTGACAGATGGTACCCGGTGATAAGTAGTAACAGGCAATGAACAGTGGCAGTCTGGTTGTTGGACGGAGTGACAGCTGGCTAACAGTATCCGTTCTGGCGATGACGTCCCGTGGCATGACAAGGCTGTGGCATGACAGGGCGGTGGCATCATACGGCATGGTAAGGGCGGCCCCGGACCAACCGTGCAACGGGCCGAGCCAAGGCCAGTGGGCCTCACCTACTTACGGGCTCCGTCGTCACGGAATGAAGTTCCACCGCCCTCATTCGTGGCCTGTCCTAAAATTACGGACCAGGCCGGCCCAGCCGAGGTGACTTTGGAGATGACTCAAAAGTCCCAAATGACGGACCAGGCCCGGCCCAGCCAAGTTTCACTGACTTGCCTCATTGAGGCACTCTCACAACTGCTGCTGTGCACACTGCCGTGTTTCATTGGCGACTGAGTGGGTGCTTTCCTGTGAATGGCAACCTCCTCTTCGATACTCCCCCCTCCTCTCCCCCCTCTTCTCGCCTCTCTTCTCCCCCCTCTTCTCCCCCCTCTTCTCCCCCCTCTTCTCCCCTCTCTTCTCCCCCCTCTTCTCCCCCCTCTTCTCCCCCCTCTTCTCCCCTCTCTTCTCCCCCCTCTTCTCCCCCCTCTTCTCCCCCCTCTTCTCCCCTCTCTTCCCCCCCCTCTTCTCCCCCCTCTTCTCCCCCCTCTTCTCCCCTCTCTTCTCCCCCCTCTTCTCCCCCCTCTTCTCCCCCCTCCTCTCCCCCCTCCTCTCCCCCCTCCTCTCCCCCCTCCTCTCCCCCCTCCTCTCCCCCCTCCTTTCCCCCATCCTCTCCCCCCTCCTCTCCCCCCTCCTCTCCCCCCTCCTCTCCCCCCTCCTCTCCCCCCTCCTCTCCCCCCTCCTCTCCGCCTTCCTCTCCCCCCTCCTGCCCCACTCTCTTCTCCTGCCCTTCTCGCTGCACGCCCACACCTGCTGCTCTCCGTCGTTGACTGCTGGGCCCTCCCCTCGGGGTGTGAAGGCAAACCATCTCCTCCTCCATACCCTTCCTCTCCGCCCTCTTCCCCTGCCCTCCTCGCAGCATGCACACTTCACAGTGCTGCGCCTGCTGCTCTCGTCGCTGCACATGCTGCTCAGCTGGATTGACGACTGGGTGCTCAAGGGGAAGCGCCATCCTGCTTTGAAACAGGAGGTGAGCTGTCGGTGCTGAGCTAAGGATGCTGAGCTGTCTATGCTGAGCTGTGGATGCTGAGCTGTGGATGCTGAGCTGTCTATGCTGAGCTGTGGATGCTGAGCTGTGGATGCTGAGCTGTCTATGCTGAGCTGTGCGATGCTTAGCTGTGCGATGCTGAGCTGTGCAATGCTGAGCTGTGCGATGCTGAGCTGTGCAATGCTGAGCTGTGCGATGCTGATGCTGAGCTGGCTGGTGGCAAGTGGCAGAGATGTTTTTGCCACCCGCTCTGCTGCCCTGGCGAGCGCAATATAGAGGGACAGCTAGCGTGCTCTAAAACCACTAATGGCCTTGTTTTGAGCTGCGATTCTTGGTCTGGTGTGGTGTGGTGTGGTGTGGTTTGGTGTAGGGATTCCAATGATGCAGTCATAACGTGCGTGCAACACATGGCACTCGTAGCTTCAGAGTCGATTCTAAAGTCACCTCTGTGGGGTCACTCATGATGCCAAGCGTGCCATGCATCACATCACAACACATCACATCACAACACATCACATCACAACACAACACATCACATCACATCACATCACAACGCATCACATCACAACACATCACATCACATCACATCACATCACAACACAACACATCACATCACATCACAACGCATCACATCACAACACATCACATCACAACACATCACATCACAACACATCACATCACAACACATCACATCACAACACATCACATCACAACACATCACATCACAACACATCACATCACAACACATCACATCACAACACATCACATCACAACACATCACATCACAACACATCACATCACAACACATCACATCACAACACATCACATCACAACACATCACATCACAACACATCACATCACAACACATCACATCACAACACATCACATCACAACACATCACATCACAACACATCACATCACAACACATCACATCACAACACATCACATCACAACACATCACATCACAACACATCACATCACAACACATCACAACATATCACATCACAACATATCACATCACAACACATCACATCACAACACATCACATCACAACACAGCACGTCACATCACAACACAGCACGTCACATCACAACACGTCACATCACATCACAACACGTCACATCACAACACAACACGTCACATCACAACACATCACGTCACATCACTCTCTTAGGCTTCCCTGGATTCTCTTTCCTTTCCTCCTTCCCATCAGCAGTCATGTATACCACATTCATGTGTAGAAAGTGACTCTCATTCTTCAGTTCTGCTTTCGTTTGCGTGCGTGTATGTGCATGTGTGTGACATGCCCGTCACATGCACTTGACATGCGTTTGACATGTGCGTGCATGGCATGTGCGTGGTTGCATGGCATGTGCGTGGTTGCATGGCATGCGCGTGACTTGCATGGGACATGTGCATGGCATGGCGTGTGGCCTGTGCGCGCATGGCATGTGGCGTGTGCGTGCATGGTGTGCATGTGTGTGCCATCTTGCTGTACAGTTTCTTTCCAAGCATGAGCTTCGGCCGATCCCTGCCAGCCCCGTGCCATCTCCTCGCACCACTGCAGCCTCTTCCCCACCCACTACTCCCACCACCACCACCACTGTCCCCACTACCCCCATTACCGCTGCTACCACCACCACCACTGCCACTACAAGCACCACTATCACCACTGCCCCCACTGCCCCCACGGCCCCCATGAGTACCACAGAGGGCTGGCCCAGCATACCCACCACCCCCGGCACTGCCCCTGCCACCCCCCTGCACCCCCACTGGCCGGCGTTTCTCGTCCCGGTGCTGGCAGACATACAGGCCGCAGAGCAGGGCGTGGTGTTCCTGAAGCACATGCAGGCGCGGGGGCGGACGCAGGGCGCGGAGCAGGGGAGTAGGGGAGGTGGGAGCGGAGGGAAGGGTAGTGGGGGAGGCGGGGGCGTGGGGAAGGGAACAGGGAGAGGGGGGAGCATGGGGAAGGGAAGGGGGAGAAGGGCGGGCCGGGGGCAGGGTGTGGAGGGACAGCAGGAGCAGCAGCGAGTGGGCAATAAGGGTGCGGGTACTGCCTTCTCCTCGTCCTTCTCCTCCTCCCCCCCCTCCACGTGCCTTGACTCGCCTGCTGCCAAGCGGCTCATCTCCACGCACGTATACCGTGCTCTCTACACACACCTGCAACCCAGTGCGGTACAGTCCGGTGCAGAGCAGTCCTCCTCCTCGTTCGCTTCCTCCTCGTATGCCTCCTCGCCCTCCTCCTCGCCACCGTCAGTGCCGTTGTCTCCATTGTCCCCATCGTCCCCCTCGGTGGCGTCTGTGGCATCATTAGCATCGCTGTCAGCTGCGTCTGAGACAGGATCAGAAGAGAAATACTCGGTGGAGGAAGGACTTTTTGAAGAAGAGTACTTGGAGCAAGGGCATTCGGTGGAGAAGGAGGAAGAGACAAGGTGGTGGGATGAGGTGCATGAAAGAGGTGTGGCAAGGGGATCCGCAGCAGCAGATGCTGGGGCGGCAGGATGGGGAGGAGAGGGAGGTGGCGGGGCGGGAGGAGGGTACGAGGCGTCTTACTGGCTGTGGAGGGGCGGTGTGGATGACACAGCAGACTGGATGGAGCTGGTGAGAAGAGAGGGATGCAAAGGGGTGGAGGGGTAAAAGGGGTGGTTCGAGGGATGCACGAGGTGGTGAGAGGATTGGTGAGACAGACTCGAGGGGTAGTGCAGTGATTTGAGTACATGATCTCTCTGTGTCCTTTGCTCCTATAGCTGCAGCCTATCATCTTGCACATCCTTCTCACACATCTTGCACATCCTTCTCACACATCTTGCACATCCTTCTCACACATCTTGCACATCCGCCTCACTTCTCAGAGATCCCATGTTGGAGCTCCCAACCGTTTTCCCCCCTCCCTATTCATCCATCCATCCATCCATCCATCCATCCATCCATCCATCCATCCATCCATCCATCCATCCATCCATCCATCCATCCATCCATCCATCCATCCATCCATCCATCCATCCATCCATCCATCCATCCATCCATCCCCCTCCCATATGTTCACCCCATTGTCAACGAGCACAGTTGGAGGAGCAAGTGAGGCTGGGACAAGTGAGAGGGGGAGAGAGTAGGGGAGGGGAGGAGGAGGAGGAGGAGGAGGAGGAGGAGGAGGAGGAGGAGGAGGAGGAGGAGGAGGAGGAGGAGGAGGAGAGAAGGGAGGAGGAGCAGCAGCAGGAGGAAGGGGAGGAATGGTTGGAAGGGAACAAGGCAGTAACTGCACACGAGGCTCAGCTCCGCCTCATGCTCTGGCTCAAGTCCTCTTGTGACGCTTCGGAGGAGTGTGGTGGTGGTGGCGGTGGTGGTGGGAAAAGAGAGGCGGCCTGTGGTACGGATAGAGTTTTGGATGATCCGACTCGCCTGCTGCAGCAATGGATACATCCTCCCATTCAAGCGTGGGTGAGTGAGCGAGCGAGTTTTGAGCTCATCCAAACTGCACCTACTCTCGAACTGCACCTACACTCAAACTGCACCTTCCACCCCTTTCCACCCCTTTCCACTCCCCATCCACCTTCAAATGGCATCGTTGGCCATGCCTGCCCACGTCCTCATCATACCTCTCCCTTCCACTCCACATCTTTTCTCCTGCACGCGGCATAGGTGGCAGCAGACACGGTGCACTGTTCTCAAGATGCACTGTTCCCCTCGCCCATTTCCCACCCTTGCCCCCATCACCGTCCCCACATTCTCATCCCACCCTACTGCAGGCGACATTTGGTGGCAGCAGACGCAGTGCGATGCCTCAAGTTGCACTGCGGCATCATTGACCTCCCCCTTCCCCCGCATCCTCTTCGTACCACTCCCCATCGGCTCTCCTGCAGGCCGTGCTGGTGGCAGCAGACACGGTGAGATGCCTCAAGATGCACTGCGGCATCATGGGGACGCTTGAGGCCTTGAGGGACCTCTTCTTCATCGGTGGAGGTAACTTGCATATGCATTTCACTCGTCTCAAGTCTCGACCCACCCTTCCGTTTCTGCAGTGCTGTACTTTCTTGGTCCGACCCTAGAGCCCTTGAGAGGCCTTCTTTTGTGGATTCAGTAGATCTTAACCACCATCCTCCCCCCTCTTTGCTGCTCTCCCTTTCCTGTCTGTGTGCCGTGCAAGAGGAGAAGGTAAGACGTGTGAGAATCTTTTGAGGCGCCTCAAAACAAGACTTCTCCCTTCCCTGTCTGTCTGCCGTGCAAGATGAGAAGGTAGGACCCAAATCCTCGAGCTGCAGGGTGTTTTTGAGAATTCTCAAAAACACCCAAACCCTCGGGGCTTTGTCAGGCATGACTTTAAAACCCAAACCCCGCTGGTGGAATGTTTTCGAGTCTTTTATGGCATCTGTGATTAGGCGTTGAGACGAATTTTGAAAAGCGTCAACACTCACTTGGATGATAAAGCTCACCCTCAATAGGTAAGGCGCAATCACAGATTCCATATCATCAGAGCCTGAACGTTGGCCGGACTCCTGGGTGTTCAGGCCTGATAGCAAAGCCTCAAGTAGTGCGGCGTCAAACAGTTAGGAGTCGGGCTATACCAGCACTGCTTCTCCACTTTCCCATACGTGCTCCCTCCCTCGCAGTATCGGTGGCGCCTGTGTTCCTGGGGGAGCTGTGGAAGCAGATGCGCACCAACGTGCTGCTGCCGGCACACACCACCGAATCCCTGCAGCAACTCATGGATGTGAGTGACATGAGTGGCGTGAGTGGCGTGAGCGGGTGAGTGGTGTGAGTGGTGTGAATGTAGGTGTGTTTTGGGTGGACACGGAACGCAGCAACGTGCTGCTGGCACACAGCAGCGAGTCACTGCAGCAACTCATGGACGTGAGTGGCGTGATGAGGAGTGGCAGGCAGGTAGACAAGCCATCATGCACATGGATGGTGTATACGTGGACGTGAGTGCCTTACGAGATGAATGGCTTGGGTGATGGTTGCGCATGGATGGTGTGTGAGCACACGTGATTAACATGACTGTACATACATGAATGGATGGTTCAGTAGACCCACCAGCCCCCCTTGACTCGCGTCCCTCTCGCGCCCCCACGGACAGACCCCCATGCATTGATGCAAGCTCACCTGCTGTGAGTGGTGCGTGCCGTGCCGACCATCAGGTCCTCTGTCAGGAAGCCCACAAGCTTGAGTCGACCCACCAGCCTGTCCAAGAAGCCGCGATGGCTGCAATTACATGAGTTCTGCCGTATCTCGTTCTCCTTCCTCCGTCATCCAACGTCTCGTGCTCTCTCTCTCTCGCAGCTTCTGCTTCGAAGCAAGCCTTATGTCCTGCTCCATGCGAAAGCATCTGTCCCTCTCTCTCTTCCTCCTTCCCTTCCTCCCTCCGTCTACCTACAGCTTCGCCTCGTCACAACCCATCCCAGTCGCCCCCTCACGACCCCCTCTCTATTTCCTCCGCCCATCTCACCTTCAACCCTCCCTCCGACCTGCTCCTCCTGCTCCCTCTCTTACCCCCCTCCTCCCTCCCTTTGCTGCCTACAGGGATTCCTCGCTACAGCAGCACATGGCCACACCTCTCCTCCACCCTTCAATACAATCACTGTCACTCTACACAACAAACCCTCTAACTCCCCCACTTCCACAAACACACACTCTCTCCTCCACTCACCCTCACCCTCCACCACCCCAACCATTGATCTAGCACCTGCCACACCATCAAATTCCTTTCTTCCTTACACCACTTCCGTTGCCGCGCCTTCTGCCGCGCCTTCTGCCGCGCTTTCTGCCTATGCCAAGCCGTTCGGCTCCCAACCTACTAGCACGGCCGAACCTGCAACTCCCGCCAGGTTCACTGCCCATGCCGGACCTGTACCCCACGCCCTACCCCCAGCCTCGGTGTCATCCAAACCTTTCGCCGGACCTACTGGACCCTTTTTGCTTGCCGGACCTATGGGTCGTGCCGGGGCTGGTGGCGCGTCAGGTGTCAAGGCCTCAACAACCATGCCCAGGCCTGGAGGTTCGGGGAGCGGAGGTGGTTCGGCGATGCAGGTTCGGGTGACAGCAATGATGGAGCTGCTGGAAAGAATCCACATGAAGCCTGAGGTTAGTGCTTGTACTCTTTAGTGCTTATAGGCTAGGCTCACACTGGCTGCCTGGTTCATTGATACTGCTTACGCACTCCCCCCCCCCAACCCCCCCACCCCCTCTTTTTTTAAGGTTTTGTTTGGCCTTTTTCTTGTTGTCTGGGGGGCAGCTCAGGGAACTTGTGTTGTTTGCCTTTGTGGCGCTTTAAAAGGAGAGTCATTGCTTTATACAAGTGGGTTCTACCGCCTTCCAGGAAAGTAGAGAGTAGGTGGCAGCAGGTGCGCACTTGCAATCATGTGCTTTCATCCATCCCACCTGTGCCGTCACCTTCTCGCCATGTGCGTGTGTGTGTGTCCTCTGTCTGTGCTGTATTGTATGTGTTTAACCTTACTGGATGTATGTATGTTCCTCTACCGTCTGTCATATGTCCTTCATTCACTAGAGAGTTTTCTCTTCATTGGCAGAGCTGACATGAGAGAGTAACACAAGCTTTTCTCTTCACTGGTAGTGCTGTGCTGACATGAGAGAGTAACAGATGTTTTTCTCTTCACTGGTAGCGCTGACATACCAATGAAGAACCCTCTCTCATGCAGCTGTGCGCATGGGGTGCAAGCAACCAGATGTTTGATTCTTCATCATCAGCATCAGCACACGCACGGCATCCGCCAACTCTCTCACGCACACGGCTTCATGCACAACTTCTCTCCTTCCATCCATCCTGCCTTGTCCGTTTCTCGACTTTCTCACTCACCCTTCCCCAGCTTTACTGGAACGGCCTTTCAAGCTTCTCAACTGTTGAGGCGCCTCAAAAGCCTTCCCCAGCTTTACTGGAACGGCTTTTCAAGCTTCTTAATGCAATCCGCTCCCTCCCTCCCTCCCTCCGCCCCCCTGCCTGCCCGCCTGGCAGCTGGAGTGGCCTCTAGACTTCCTCATGCGCCCTGCAGCATGCGCCAAGTACAACCAGGTGTGTGTGTGGACTGTAAGCACCTGTTGGAGCTATTAAAACTGATCCTCACTCAGTGTGGAACAGATGAATTCTGAGACGTCTCAAAACCAGGTGCGTGTGTGTGTGTGTGGACTGTAAGCATCTGTTCGAGCTCTCAGAAGTGACCCTCACTCAGCTTGCAACAGATGAATGCATGCAACCAGGAATGTAGTAAAAGGGATCCTCCCATGAATGCAACAGAAGCACGAGAGCTATGCACACACTATGCTTGGCTTGGCTGCCACTAGCCAGCAGCTGGTTACACATGCACTCAGCTTCAACTTCCTCCCCCTTAAAAGCTTCGACTTCTTCCTTACATACCCAGCCTTTGACCGCCACCACACCACCTCATGGCGCTGTCAGAATATTATGTTTCTCTAGTCTGCAGTGGGGTACTCTATAGTGAGTACAACCCTTTTAGGGTTGGCTATATGTATCCCAATGTTTGCTAGTGAACCTCTCCTCTTCTTCATCCCTCATTTCTTCACATGCTATCAGAGCATCTACGCTCCTGGCCTGTGGCCCACCTAACTGCTTCCGCTGCTACTCTGTCTTCTGCACGCCCCGTGGCGTGCCCCTCGCGCGACCCTTAGCAGCCCTGTCGCCACCTCTACCGGCCCCGTCGCCGCCCTTCTCGGCCCCTCGCGGCCCCTTTGCGGCCCCGTCGCCGCCCCTTCGCGGCCCCGTCGCCGCCCCTTAGCGGCCCCGTCGCCGCCCCTAGCGGCCCGTCGCCGCCCTTCCAGGCCCCTCGCGGCCCCTTCGCAGCCCCGTCGCCGCCCCTATTGGCCCCGTCGCCGCCTCCAGCGGCCTCTTCGCCGCCCCTTCGCGGCCCCGTCGCCGCCCCTAGCGGCCCGTCGCCGCCCTTCCAGGCCCCTCGCGGCCCCTTCGCGGCCCTGTCGCCACCCCAATCGGCCCCGTCGCCGCCTCCAGCGGCCCCGTCGCCGCCCCTAGCAGTCCCGTCGCCGCCCTTCCAGGCCCCTCGCGGCCCCTTCGCGGCCCCGTCGCCGCCCCTTCGCGGCCCCGTCGCCGCCCCTAGCGGCCCGTCGCCGCCCTTCCAGGCCCCTCGCGGCCCCTTCGCGGCCCCGTCGCCGCCCCTACTGGCCCCGTCGCCACCTCCAGCGGCCTCGTCGCCGCCCCTTCGCGGCCCCGTCGCCGCCCCTAGCGGCCCGTTGCCGCCCTTCCATGCCTCGCGGCCCCTTCGCAGCCCCGTCGCCGCCCCAATCGGCCCCGTCGCCGCCTCCAGCGGCCCCGTCGCCGCCCCTAGCGGTCCCGTCGCCGCCCCTAGCGGCCCCGTCGCCGCCCTTCGCGGCCACGTCGCCGCCCTTCGCGGCCCCGTCGCCGCCCCTAGCGGCCCCGTCGCCGCTCTTCGCGGCCCCGTCGCCGCCTCTAGCGGCCCCGTCGGCGCCTCTACCGGCCCCGCCCCGGCCATGCTAGGTCGCCTGGCGCGGCGCACCGGGGACCCGTGCACCCCCCCCCCCCCCCTCTTTTCCCGTCGCCCGCCGCGGCTCCCTGGGGGGCCGACCGGGGGGGGGGGGGGCGAGCGTCGCCCCCTCTGCCGCCTGCTTTGGCGCCCTGGGAGGCCGCGCGTCGGCCCCCCCCCCTTCCCCCCCCCCCCCCCCCCCCCCCCCCCTGTAACCTCCCTACCCGCCATCCCGCCCTGCCCTGTGTTAGGGTTTGGGGGTGGCGAGTAGGGGGTGGCGGGTGTGGTCTCCCCTGCTCCTCCTCCTCCTCTGTCTCCCACTACTGCAGCTGCCGCTGAGAGGGGTGGGTGTGTGGGAGTCAACGGAGTGGTGCTAGGGGTTGGGGTGTGAGTGAACCTAGGGTGCAGCAGGGGGTGTGTAAAAGGGGGGTGGGATAGTTTGGGGAGGTTGAAAGGGGGTGGCCGCCGTGAAGCCCACAGCTCCAGTCGCCCGTGAGACCGTTGCGCCAGTCGCCCGTGAGCCCGTTGCGCCAGTCGCCTGTGAGCCAGTTGCTCCAGTCGCCCGTGAGTCCGTTGCTCCTGCCGCTCAGAGTTAGCCGCGGAGTCAGTTACTGCAGTAGCCCGTGTGCCAGTTGCTCTAGTTGCTAGTGTGCCAGTTGCTCCAGTTGCCCGTGTGCCAGTTGCTCCAGTTGCGCCGTGTGCCAGCAGCTTCAGCTGCCGCCCACTACCTCCTCTCCTCTCATAGTCACTCTTCCTCCACACTTGCCCTCTGCGATAGCCTCTAGCTTTGCTTACATTTGTGAACTTTAAACTGTTGCTTCTTGTACTTGTGCTCAGAATGTGTGGTGACATTGTGATCCACCCTGAGCTTGTTCTGCTTTGCTTGTTGTGCTGATTACACCCCACTTTGACTATGGGGGTGTGTCAGAATATTATGTTTCTCTAGTCTGCAATGGGGTACTGTATAGTGAGTACAACCCTTTTAAGGTTGGCTATATGTATCCCAATGTTTGCTAGTGAACCTCTCCTCTTCTTCATCCCTCATTTCTTCACAGGCGCATGTCTCACTCTCCTGCATCATCTCTTTCATTATCTTTCTCAAGCTTTACCCACTCTGCCAAGGCTTCTGTCGGACTTCTTTCCCCTCATACCCCACTTTCTCTCCTCCACCCCTCTCCTGCTCTCGCTGCTCCCCCATCCTCTCCTCCCATCAGCTCTTCTCTTTCTTCTCCAAGCTCTCTCTCGCCAAGACGGCTCTCACCGCCACCAAATCACGCATGCTGCAGGTGAGAGACAGGGCGCTCATGCGTGGGGGGTTGCCGGAAATCTGATCTGAGTGGTGGGGGGATAAAGGCGGGATTGAGAGTATTGTGTAAAAGACATGCTGCATGCGTGCTCCGTGTGCAGGGCGGGGCGCACATGCATGGGGTGGGGGGTTGCTGGGAATCTGATCTGAGTGGTGAGGGGGTAAAGGCGGGATTGAGAGTGTTGTGTAATGGACATGCTGCATGGGTGGGAGGCAGTGGCAGAGCGGGGGGGTTCATTCAAAGGCTTTAAGTAACACCTGATACTTTCAGCTGCGTGCCTCTTTGTCAACAATCACGGGAGAGGCGAAGGGGTAGGGTAATCATGCAGTTGCAAGCATCATATGCCAACTAGTGTCCGCTTCATAACCGCCTCCTGCAGTCGCCCTGCACTCGCCCTGCACTCGCCCTGCACTCGCCCTGCACTCGCCAACCTCTCCCACTGTTTGGTCTCATGCGCCGTTCCAATCCAACCTCTCCCGCCCCTTTCTCTCATGCACCAAGCCACTGGAAGCACTCCCACGCCCCTGTGCTGTGCCCTATCGCATGGCAAGCTATGTTCGGAAAGACGCAGCTAGGACGCAGGACGCGCGTCCAGACGCAGGACGCACGTCGAAATTTTTTTCGGGCAGCCCGAAAAAAAAAATCGATTGCGATTTTGGCATTCGCGATTTCGACGCGAATGTCGAAATCGCGAAATTTCCCCATCCCAAGCCCAATTCGCCATTCAAAACCAGCCCCCCTAACATTCCCTAACAACTAAACCAAAATTGAATTTCACTCAAACCTCTCAACCACTTAGCATCTACGAATCCCAACCTTTGTAGCCCACCACCACCAAGCACATTTAGCATGGCAACCTTTTGTGGCTTCTCATTTTCCCCTCACCAATTCTCTTTCGTAAACCCATAGAGGTTTTAGGTCTTAGCTTAGCTTACCACCTAAACTCCGCTATGGCTTCCTCGAGCATTCCTTCTTCTTCCACCGCATCTAAGAGTGTTGAAAATTTTGTGGTTGGGGAAATTTTGTGGTATGACACCCCCCCCCCCCCCCCCCCCCCCCCCCCCCCTCTCCCAAGCCCTATACAATTTTTTTGGCCTGCCCGGGGGTTTTTTTTGCCCTGCCCGGGCTTGCGTCTTTTGGTGCGTCTTACAGGTCAAGGGTCAGCGTCCTGCGTCTGGACGCATGCGTCCAGGACGCAGGACGCGTCTTTCTGAACATAGATGGCAAGAGCGGCGCCTGCGGTGCTTCCGTGGTATGCCCATGGTGGCTTTTGACTCGACTCAAAAGTTGTCCTTTGTTTATCGCCCCCTCCCCCCTGTGTCCTGTGGCATTGCATGGCAGGAGCGGCGGTGCTTCCGTGTCATGCCCATGGCGGCGCAGAGGGAGCTGCTGATGGTGCAGCAGATGCAGCACGCCCTGCACGCCATCCACTCCTTCCTCATGGCCAATGTGCGTGGACAGTGCATGCAACACGCCACATGCACCACATGCACCACATGCACCACATGCACCACATGCACCACGCTCATCACATGCAGCACATGCAACACATGCACCACGTTCATCACATGCAGCACATGCAGCATTCCTTGCATGCCATCCATTCCTTCCTCATTTCTTGCATACCACCCTCTCTCCCTCTCTTCCCCAATCCTTCAATTTCCATCTCGAAGCCACTCACTTCTCCCTCCGCCATCCCATTCTTCTGTGCTCCATTCTTCACTCAGTCGCATCACACTCTCTTCCCCCTCATCACATTCTCTTCCCCTCCTTTCATCACACTCCCGTCCCCCTTTCCTCCCTGGCGGTGACAGCAGCATGGCACGAGCTACAGGCGGCCATGGGCAGAGCAGCAGCCGGGGTTGGGTGTTGAGTCAACTCCAAAGTCCCGTCTCCCGTTCCTCACATTCCCCTCCCTCTCCTCTCCCTTCCCAGGCAGTGACAGCAGCATGGCACGAGCTACAGGCGGCCATGGGCAGAGCAGCATCCGTGGCAGCAGTGGTGCATGCACACCACCACTACCTGCACTCCATCCTTGAGGGATGCTTCCTCATTAACTCCACCAACATGGTCAGTCAGTCCACGTCATAAGCTCTCCTGCTGCACTTCCGTTGCTCTCCTCCTCCTTATCCCTATCATCCGCTGTGCTGGTTACGACCATTGTAGAAACTCAAAACTCGAAACCCTATGGTCCGCTATGGCAAGAAGCTTGTATTTCGCATGCATCAACTGGGTGGCTTTTGAGTTAACTGTTAAGACGCTTCAACAGGTAAGCTGTGGATGAACCACCTATACGCTGTGGCAATCGGATTTTTAGTCGAGTCATACTTAGCAGCTAAATCAAACTGGGGATGAACTACCCACATGTTGTGGCAATCGATTCTGACAGGACAACAGTCTCCCAGCATCACTTGGATCTAACAATATTGCAGGTAGCAAGCCATCACCATCAGTCGACGCCGTAGTACTGTGTGGCATCCTCATTCGCACTTGAGGTGGACTGAAGCGCCATTTGAAGTTGTAATTGAATTGACTGTAATTACTCTTAGACTGGAGAGGGGCTTTAAAAAGGTGGAATTTTCACTCGCACTGAGTTGCTGCATTCCTCGCAGTCTGCATCCTCCTCCTCCTCTCTTCTCGCCCTTGGCCTCACCATTCAGACCTCTCAAACGTCGTCTCAGCTTCTCTTCTCCGCGTCTCCATTCCCCATGCAACCATCCACCCCTCCCGTGTTCCATGGCAATGTGCTTCAAACCATAACTGGCTGGGTAGTCTCTCTGTCGAGCAACGTGCGTGTGTTCTGCTCACCTTCTTTCCCCTCCCTCCACCCCATGCTGTCCTCACATCTTCCTCACCCCTCCAACTATCCACCCCAACCATTCATCAGGGCAAGGCCATCACGGGCCTGATAGTTTCTCTGTCCAGCTAGACCCTTCTCTTCTGCACGTCTTCCCTCCCCTCCCATCCGCACATCTTCCTTCCCCCTCCCCACCCACTATGCTCCTCGAATCAGGGCAGGGCCATCACGGGCCCGATAGGTTCTCTGTCCAGCAAGACCCTTCTCTTCTGCGCACCGTCCTTCCCCTCCCACCACCCCACCTGTATGCACGTCGTTCCCCCTCCTACCACCCACCCCACCCCAACCACTCACCAGGGCAAGGCCATCACGGGCCTGACAGTCTCTCTGTCCTGCAAGACGCTTCTCTTCTGCGCACTCTACCACTCCCCTCCCATCCGAACATCTTCCTTCCCCCTCCCCACCCACTATGCCCCTCACATCAGGGCAAGGCCATCACGGGCCTGATAGTTTCTCTCTCCAGTAAGACCCTTCTCTTGTGCGCGCTTTACCACTCCCGCCGCTCACTGCAGCGCCCACACTCCATGCCATCACCCACCCCTTCCGCCACCGCATTCGCCACCATGCCTAGTGCTTTCAGCAGCACTCCAATGCGCACACACACAGCTAGCAGCAGCACTCCCATATACATGCCTGCGGCCAGCAGCAGCAGGGGGGGAGGAAGGGAGGAGAACAGCAAGGGGGGAGCAAGGGAGGAGAGAAGTGGCAGGGCGGCTGCGGAGGAGGCGGCAATCAATGCGGAGATTCAGCAGCTGGGAGATTTCTTCCATGATGACGTGTCAGCCATCCTGCAGGTATGCCATGCTGATGTCAGACATCATAGGTGGGTCATGCTGGCGTGTCGGCCATTCAACCTTCGAAGTGAGATTGCTCGGAGAACAAGGCGGCATTGCATTGGCGCATGTAAGGCTTTCAGTGCTGTGGATGTCATTTGGAGATCTTGGTTACATTGGCATGGTCATCACAAATAGGTAGCTACCTGAGAAAGCTGTGCATCTACCGTACCTACCTTGTCTCCTTGGTTAATCTCTAGCCATGGCTTACAATGTTGTTCCCTTTTATTCCACTAGAGGTGCTACCGTCGTCACACAACAACATACACATCACTACAGAGAATTTGCAAAAGTGGTTCCTCGCGTGTGTATGTTTCCTGATCGCATGGTATGCAGGTGGCTCGCAACCAAGCAGGGAAGTTGCCGTCGAGCATACGGGACCTTCTGCAGCAGCTGAATTACAACCGCTTCTACGGATGAAAACACTGTATTCTTTTATTTGTTACTCAATAAATCGTTCATGTGGCCGCACAACAATAGGCTTCATTACTGATTTCAAACGTCAAAAGGCCTTCAAGAAAACCGTTTTCTGTTACTATGTATGTGGGAATGTTACGAGCTGATGCTACCTGGCTACCAACTCAACTCTGCGAGCCAGCTTTCGAGTTCTCCCGCCTCCTACATTCCCTCTTGTCAGACTCCTCGCTACTCGAGCCTCTCGCCACTTCGCCCTCTGGCGATCACGTCATGATCCTCTCGAGTCTTCAAGAGCACAGACAAGCTTTCCAAGACCATTCTGTCCCCTAGGAGCACATGCGAAGGTCATGACCAATTGCAAGCTCCTGCGCGCCAACACACTGGGCCTAGAGGCTGTCAGCAGGGCGACCTGTCACGCTCCAGAGCTCCTCCGTCCAGCCATCGGCCGCCGCGGCGCAGGCTGTTGCTTCCTCGCTTTTGCTTCCTCTTCAGCCGCCGCATTGCCAAAAGTATCCTCGTTTCTCGAAGCATCCGCTCCTAATCTCCTGCCGCTACAGCACGTCCTGTTACGGTAGCCGTCCTTGTAAATTAACCAGAGCTTCGAGCAGCAGCAGTCAGGACCCTAGCCGCGTTCGATTCTTCATTCCAAAGTAGACGACCCGACGACAGCGAAACCAGACTGACCGGCAGTAGTAGCAAACGGCTAGCCGGCAACATGGGCGACAATCTCTTCACTCTCTGGCCGTTCCTCATGGTCCTCATCGGCCTGTTCTTCGCCGTCAGTCTGCTCCGCAAACCGAAGTGGCGCGACGCGCACTGGTGGGTCTGGCTTTCCCTCGCCGCCACCATTCTCCACAATTTCGAGGAAACCGGCTTCGACATTCTCGGCCGTCGATTTCACATCCACGCGTTCGTCTGCGCTCGGCTGGGATTGTACCGCGCGGAGATCGCGCTGTGTCCCGCCGACGCTCCGTTCTTCTTCCTCGTGAATCTCGTGCACACGTGGCTGTTGACTACTATGGCGATTTCGACGGGGCCGCGACAGCCGCTCGGCGCGGCTATCGCCGTCGCGATCCCGCTTATCGACGCCGTTTCGCACGTGTTTTTCGCCGCCACTTCGCTCAGTTACAACCCTGGTCTGGTTTCCGCAATTCTCATCACCGGACCTGTAGGTTTGGGGTTCTTCCGAACCTGTCGGGAGCGGGGGTGGTTGCCGGACCAGCAGCAGTCGGTAGCCTTGGCATGTGGAGCGCTGGTATTGGTCAGTTTCTGGTTCGGATTAGCTTTGGCAGCGGCAGGGCGGGTGAGTAAACCGGCGCTGTGGTGGGGTGTAATGGCGAAGGGGTTTCTGCCGCTGCTGGCACTGCTGTTCAGAAGAATACCGCTCGTTAAAATGTACTCCATGACTGAGTAATGATGGTAAAGAACACCTACACTACACACTACTTACCCTATCTGCCTCCTACCTACGGACCACCAAGTACTCACCCATGTTGACCACAGAATGAGAGGAGAGGAGCTGCTGGCACTGCTGTTAAAATGTAGTCTTTGACCGAGTGGCTGATAGTGATCAAGTGTACCTACGTGCTTACCTACCTACCTATCTATGAGTCGGTCAGCACCCACCCAACTCAATCACTGAGCTAGGGGAGCAGCTTTGGCCTGCTGGTGGTGCTGTAGCAGCAACTGGTCCTGGGAGCAGCCTTGATGTGGTGGTTGATAGTACAATGCACGGAGGGCAAAGGAGTGTCTATCTTTGCTTTCTGCCCTGCTACTCCAAAACCAAGAACATCACTGTAGCGCACCGTGCCCCTCTGAATCAGAGCTACAGTACTACTGCTGACTGAGAGTGCCTTTAGGGGCTTTGTGCAATGAATGATCAATGATGTAATTAAATTCATTACCATCCACACTGGCATAGAACAAATGCCTGCCACACAAAAGCGGCAGGTTCGGTCAAAGGCCGGAGCTGCATGAGCAGCAGGTTGCCAGAAGCACCTCCTTCCACAACGACTCAACTCAACACCTCTGCTGCTGCAGGTCAGGTGGGGTGAGGGGTACTGTGGCCATGAGTGTGCAGCCGCGTTGCCTGCATGCTACCACAGCTCGTCCCACTGGCAGCGAGCGAGTCGGAGAAATAAGAGTGTTGAGAGGCCTGCCTGAGCACGTCCACTGGCAGAGTGCCTGAGAGGAGAGGTGCCTGAGAGGAGAGGTGCCTGGGAGGAGAGGTGCCTGAGAGGAGAGGTGCCTGGGAGGAGAGGTGCCTGGGAGGAGAGGTGCCTGAGAGGAGAGGTGCCTGGGAGGAGAGGTGCCTGGGAGGAGAGGTGCCTGAGAGGAGAGGTGCCTGAGAGGAGAGGTGCCTGAGAGGAGAGGTGCCTGGGAGGAGAGGTGCCTGAGAGCAGAGGTGCCTGAGAGGAGAGGTAGATGCCCTAAGACGTCCTGGAAGAGAGTGTACTTGCGCGCATATCACATCAGAGCATGGCACGGCGCATCACTCCTGACCAAAGTGCGTAGCTGCGTCGGCTGCATGGTGCTTGAGAACTTTCACTGGCAGAGCGCCTGAGAGGTGAGAGCCAGAAAAGTGCTGCCACAGTGCACACGGCACATCACATCACTCCTGGCCAAAGTGCATAGCTGCATGCTTTAGAGCGCCTCAAAAGTGTGTAGCGGCGTCGGCTGCATGCTGCTTGAGCACGTCCACTGGCAGAGCGCCCGAGAGGTGAGCCCACGGGAGCACCTCACTCTCCCCCACCTGCTCACACACATGGGGACATGCATGGCATCAGGACATTCACAGTGTCTGTTCTCTCTGTGTGTGCGTGCGTGCGTGCGAAGCACTCGAGTTTTAACCCCTAAGAAAGCACAACCACCAGTCTGAAGGCGTAGTATTCAGGCGGCGGCACCTGCCCCCTCATCTCCTTGAACGCGCACCCAAAGCTGCCCTGCGACCCGCCAAACTGCAGTTGCGCACCAGGTATGGTCTATACACGGAGGGCCGTAGAGCCCTGTCACCCCCCGAACCACCAAACCCCCAAACCCGCCAATACTCTAAAAACCCACAACCCCCCCAACCCAAACCCCCTCACGAAGCACACCCCTGCCCCCTCATGTGTGCCCGCACACCCACCAGTCTGAAAGCATAATATTCAGGCGGCGGCACCTGCCCCTTCATCTCCTTGAAGGCGCGCCCAAAGCTGCCCTGCGACCCGCCGAACTCGCGCGCCCTCTGCAGCAGCCTCGACAGCCGGCGGTCGCCTCTTGAGAGCACAGCCTGAGAATGATTGGACAAGAAAATTAGGGATTAGAAAGGGAGGGAGGTAGGGAGGGAGGGTGACAGAGGAGGGGAAACGGAGTAACTCAGGGTTGAAACCCAATCACTGCCTCACACTCCCCGCCTGCCCCTCACTCCCCCATCTCCCACCCTCACCTGCCAGCCACACACTTCCCTTATAGCCCTCGGGACAGAACTCCACACCCACTACCCGCATATGCCCGATCTAGGCACCAAGGTAGAACAAGCAAGCAAAATTCCTACTTGCACCCACCTGCCACCACACACTCAAACCACTCACCTTCTGCCTCACAGTCTCAATTCTCCCCACCCACCTGCCACACGCTCCACTTGTAGCTCTCAGGGCGGAACTCCACGCCCTCCTTCCGCATCTCCTTCTCCAGCACTCTCAGCCGCGCCTCTGCTGCTGCCTGCACCGGCTGCCACTGGAACGGCGTGTGCGCCTGAGAGAAGATGAACAGGTGATGGGGGGTGAAGGGAGGGAGCACATTAAGGAGCTGATGTGGGGAAGTGCTGGGGTGTGGTGAACAGACCACTCCTTCTCGAGCACTCTCAGCCGCGCCTCTGCTGCTTGCTGCACCGGCTGCCACTGGAACGGCGTGTGCGCCTGGCAAAAGTGGTTGAAAAAGGGGGAGTTATGGGGTGGAGTTGAATTGAAGCCTTCTGATGCCATTCGTTCATTCCTTCTCCAGAAGTCCCAGCCATCTCTGCTGCTGCTGCTGCACGAGTGGGAACTACAGGTACAGGCAGTGGCGGGGGTGGAGAGAGCATGATACATCTGCAAGCTCACAGCCATTTGTATACCTACCCTTGTGCCCATGTGATTTACCATGATTACCGAAGGGGCAACAGGGTGTGTAGAAGACTGCATGTTTTGAAACTGCCTTAAAGCCGCTGGCCCAAATTGCACAAGTTTTAAATGGTTGACGGGGAGGAAGTTTTCTTTTTGGGGTGTGGCGAGAGGTCCTATTTCGTCAAATTCGTTATCTTTGCAACACACAGCCAAAAACGTGTCTTCCCAGTGGTAGGAGCTCGAAAGTCCCAAATTGCAAGTGAACTTCTTTCAAGTTAACAAGCTCCTCACCGTCAAGTTTTAAAAGCTTGACCCACGCGCCTCGCAATTTGGGACTCGGGTTTTAAAATACAACATTACGGCAGGGAAAAACAATGCAGTGATGCCGACATACCTTGGCGGGGGACAAAAGGAAATAAAACCAAGAAAGCAATTCTGGAAAGAATTGTCATTATGGAAGGAAGAAGGCAATCCTGGTAAGGGCATGGTAATTATTAGAGAAAAAAAGGATGACGATGATGGAAGAATGGTATGAATGGGAGAAATTGGGCAAGCGACGGCATTTGCATCATGTTACCTTGGGCACGAAGGTGGAGCATCCGAGGGTGAGCTTGAGCCGGGGAGCAGCTCTCCTCAGCTCCCTCATCATGCCCACTGTCTCTGCCACGTCAGCATCCGTCTGCCACGCAGGCATGGCATGCACGAGAAGAGGGACGGTATGCACTGAGCACAGTAGCACACACATCATGCATCAATCGTGAATGGACTTTTCTACGCATGTGGCAGGCAGAAGCACTGATTTCACTGGGCGACACAGTTGAATTGAGCGAGTCAGCGCGGCCAAGTGTGAGACAGTGCTGGCCTCATTACACCGTAAATACAGCAAAAAAAAAAGAGGGTGATGGACGTGAATGGAACAAGAGAAGAAGGCGGACCTCACCTCGCTGGGGAGCCCAACCATGCCATAGAGCTTCAACCCCGACAGGCCGCCCTCCTGTGCGTTCACTGCTGCTGCAACGATGTCTGCTGAATCCAGCTGAGGTGAGAAGACGAGGGGAGGCGAGGTCCCCACACATGGAGAGGGTGGTTGGAGGAGAGAAGAGAAATATTATCACTTGGTGCCAACCAAATACCCCCCTCTTGTTCGTTGACTGCTGCTGCAATGGTGTCTGCTGAGTCCAGCTGAGGTGAGAAGACGAGGCGAGGCGAGGCACACACACATTAGGGGGAGAAAGAGAATTTTGAGGCACCTCAGATATAGCCCTTCCTCCCACACTAACTACCTTCTTGCTCACCGCACTACATTCCTGCTCACCGCACTACAATCCTGTTCACTGCACTGCATACCTTCTTGTTCACCACGCGCCGCATGCGCTCGGAACCGCTCTCAACCGCAATGGTGAGAGACCGAGTCCCGGATTGCGCCAACGCCGCTGCCAGCTTGGCGGTCACTGTGTTGGTGCGCACTGATGCAATGCTGGCATGGGGGAGAGGCAAGCAAGGGACGAGGAAAATGAGAGGTACGCATGAAACGAAAGGCAAGGCAACGCCGCTGCCAGCTTGGCGGTCATTGTGTTGATGCACACCGATGCAATGCTGGTGTGTGGGGAAGACAGGGGGAAGGGAATTGAGCAGATTGTATGCAATGTAAGGCAGGCAAAGCAATGCTGCTGCCAGCTTGGGAGTCATTGTGTTGATTTCACAGATGCGATGCTGACGTGGAGTGTGGAGAATACGAGGGACGAGGGAAATGGGAAAAGAATATGCAATGTAAGTCAAGACAGGCCTGCGTCGAATGTCCTTCTTGCGCGGCTGCAGCAGGTATGAGAGCAAGCTGTCAAACTGTGGGTGCTCAAACGAAGTACAGAAACTCAGGGCGCACCTAATTGCATTGCACAGCACAGCAGGTACAGAAGGGGAGAGAAGGGCAGGCAGGGAGTAAGATCCACCTGAGGCGAATGTCCTTCATGTGCGGCTGCAGCAGGTAGGAGAGCAGGCTGTCGAAGTGTGGGTGCTGTGTGACTGATGCGCCCAGCAGGCCTATGCGGTTGGTCACCTGCGAAAGAGGCGTGCATGTGTGTGTGGTGTAGGGGATAGGGTGGGAAACTTGACACGGCACCTCAACGCCATGGAGGAGAATCTAGCATGGGTTAGTATGAGGTGTACTTTCATGCAGGGCTCGCTTCATAGCGGGTATGAGGTGTAGTACCAACAGGCCTCTCTCTATAACGTGTATAAGGTGCAGATACCTTCGGCCTGCAAGCCTCGCTTTATAGCAGGTATGGCACGTAATTCTCTGCCGGCCTCTCTCTGTAGCGTGGCGGGTATGGGGTGCACTGACCTGCAAGCCTCTCTCTATGGCTGATAAAAGGTTACCTGCGAGCCACACTCTCTAGCGAGTATAGGTGTAGTTACCTGCGAGCCACACTCTCTAGCGAGTATAGGTGTAGTTACCTGCGAGCCACACTCTCTAGCGAGTATAGGTGTAGTTACCTGCGAGCCACACTCTCTAGCGAGTATAGGTGTAGTTACCTGCGAGCCACACTCTCTAGCGAGTATAGGTGTAGTTACCTGCGAGCCACACTCTCTAGCGAGTATAGGTGTAGTTACCTGCGAGCCACACTCTCTAGCGAGTATAGGTGTAGTTACCTGCGAGCCACACTCTCTAGCGAGTATAGGTGTAGTTACCTGCGAGCCACACTCTCTAGCGAGTATAGGTGTAGTTACCTGCGAGCCACACTCTCTAGCGAGTATAGGTGTAGTTACCTGCGAGCCACACTCTCTAGCGAGTATAGGTGTAGTTACCTGCAGGCCTCTCTCTATAGTGGCTCTGAGGTGGTCTGAAAGTACCGCAGGGCAGAACACATGACCAGCAAGCCTTTACTTCCCTTCTGTCTGTTTGTGCCATACCCTCTCCCCATGTCTCCCATTTCCACTAAAATGTAAGCGTCTCTCTATAGCGGGTGTGTGGTGTAGTTACCTACCTGCAGGCCTCTCTCTATAGCGGGGATGAGGTGGTCTTCAAGAGCGGCAGGGCGGAAGGGCAGAGAGGAGTAGCTGGCGAGGCAGAAGCGACAGACCTCGGGACAGCTGCGCACCACCTGAGGGGGAGAGTGAGAGGGTGTGAGAGAGAGTGAGTGATGGGACGGGAGGAGGATGGGATGAAGGAAGGGCAGAGAGGAGTAGCTGGTGAGGCAGAAGCGACAGACCTCGGGACAACTGCGCACCACCTGAGGAGGGTAGAAGGGGAGAGAGCGGCAAAGGATTGGGTTGAGCGTGGCCAGCTGCTTGCTGCGGTACGTCTGAGTCAACTCACAGGTCACTGTTTCGCACCCAAAACACAACAGACAGCAGCCGCACCGCACCTCCACCATGTATATCCCCTCCCACGCCATGCGAGGCGAGCGACACCACAGTGGACGTCGCCAGCTGCTTGCCTTCCTTGAGTCATGTCACACACCTTGGTGCACACAGCACAAAACAAAACAAGCATCACACCGCACCTCCACCATGTATATCCCCTCCCACGCCATGCGCGGAGACACCACAGTGGACGTTGCCAGCTGCTTGCCTCTGTACGTCTGCCTCTCCACCACTGCAGGAGCTGCTGGGAGCATCATTCCTGTACTGATGCTGCTGCTGACATTTGTGCTGCCAGCTGGCAGTTGCAGAGGTGACACGTCAGCAATGGGTCCCGTGGATCTGTGGTATTCCACCCGGTACAGCAGAGGCACGTACACCCCTGGCACCTGATTGGTTGGTTGTGGAGCAGGACGAGTGAGAGAGAGAGGGTAGAGTGGGGCGGTGGGTGGAGAGCAGTGGAGAGCGGCGAAGAGCAGTGGAGAGCAGTAGCTCATGCAGGGGTTGCAGGGGTTGAGGGTTTGGGGGGTTTGAAGGTTTGGGAAATACACAAGAGCAGGATTTGAGAAGGGAATGGGCAAGGATGACAAAGAGGTGGTGGGGCGATTCCGAATGTGCTGTAATTGCTGCATTTCCTAAAAATCTGTGATTCCAAATTTCCTAATGGAGCTCTCACCATTACCACTGCCACCCTCCCACTAACCTGAGCCAGAACCGAGAGCATTTCCAACTGCCTTCTGCTTCTGCTACCACCATCACCACTGGCTCCCTCCACCCCTCCTCCCCACACACACGCCCACTAACCTGAGCCAGAGCCGAGAGAATCTCCAACCGCCTGCTGCTTCTGCTGCTACCACTGGCTCCCTCCACCCCTCCTCCCGACACACACGCCTCGAACGCGTCCACGAAGCTTCCCAGAAGCTCCTCGCCGTCGCCCATCAAAATCACATCAAAGAAATCCGCAAACGGCTCCGGATTGGCCGAGAGAACCGCGCCCCCTCCGAACACGAAACACGTGGACCCACTCTCAAGCCTCTCCTCAGATCTCACCGGAACCCCCAAATCTTCTAGAATGTTCAGCACGTTCACGTAATCCAGTTCCCAGGAGAAGGAGAATCCGATCAGATTAGGGTTTCGAGGGAAGGGATCGTGCGCGTCGGTGAACATGCGGGTGACGTGGATGGATGCGCGGGAGCAGAGGTACGCCCACACCAGTTGATATCCGAGCGAGCAGATCCCGACCGTGTATTCGTTCGGGAAGGCGTAGATGCACCTGATTGGCTCGCGCGAGGCTTCGTTATTGTCACTTCTGGTGCTGAATCCATTTGTGCTGCTGTTACTGGAAATATTATTGCTGTGGGTGCTGCTGCTGCTGCTGCTGCTGCTGCTGCTGGTAGTGCATGTAGGGTCGCCTGAGCGAGGATCGAACAGGAGGGTCTCGTCTTGGGAGAATTGGATAAGATTCGCGATTTTTTGTTGATGAGTCAGCGCCTGATTCGCCGACTGCTTCTTCTCCTGCTGGCGCTGCTGCTTATTTCCCTTCTCCCCTTGCTGCTGCTGCGACTTGCCTCCTTTTCTCGCGTTCTCTCGGTTCCTCGTGGCTCTAGCTCTAACTCTCACAGTAAGAACCCTCCGCATCGAGTCGTCTGGTTTTCGTACGTTCTCGCTCCCAAACGTCGCGACATTCCCCCAAAACGAATTCTTCCACCTGCTCCCGAATGTCGCGACACTTCCAAGCCCGCTGCCGCTCGCAGAGCGAAGCGTGAGAGCACCAGAAGTGGAAGCCGCCATGTGAAATTGCTGAGAAACGAGCTCTTGGACCACTGGTGGTAGCAGCGCAGCACTCAAGTCAAACGGCACTGGGGGTCGAGTCGAGACTCCAGGAACTGGAGACCAATTGTAACTCGATACAGAGTATCCTACTACTCGTCTTAGACAGAATCCAGACAACTCTTCCCTACGTGACTCTAGAAAGCAGAATTACTACCCAATTCATCATGACTACATTAGATTGATCACTGCTCGAGCTCAAGCCTCACTACAGTGTCGTGAAAGGGATATCACTGCTCGAGCTCTCCGCCATGGCTTCAGCTTTAACTTCGGCACGCCCATTGTTGACCAATTTCCAGCCTGATGGCACTTTCCTTAAAACATTATAATTTTAAACACACATTGTGTTTTTTAAAATTGTGTATTGTGAAAGCGAAGCTGCTTGTACTGCACAATTGGCAACGTCGAAGCGCGCTAAACGCCCTTCTCCAACTACAAAAACCGTGGGTTGGAGTTCATCATTTCCCTCCACCCACGTTTCTCGATTTTCAAACGGCTCACTCAACATTCCCACCACCCACCCCAGAGTAAACCGCCTTGCTAATGCCACTTGGATAGGGTACATCTTGGCTAGTATTATTCGATTGCACTAGCTTGTATTCAACGTTGATGCAAATGTTGTAATAACCCATTTGTAATGAGAACGATGCCAATTGATAATAATAAGAAAGCAGGCTTTCTCAATCTTAACGTTCAGTTCGACCAGCGCTTCAAGAGGATACCTTTTTGAGAAAACCGAAACGAGAATGAATGAACTGAGTACAAGTACTAACCCTAATTGGGTTGTACCCCTTATGGGCTACCCCACTATAGCCTACACAATAAGCACAAGCTATATGTTCTGACACACCCCCATAGGCAAAGTGGGGGAGAACAAGGGGTCACAAGACCAGTCAAGCAAAGCAAAGCAAAGCAAGCTCAGGGTGGATCACAAAGTCACCACACATTCTGAGCACAAGATCAAGGCCACAAGGCCAATTCACATGCAGGAGTACATATATATAAAGGACTAGACAAGCAAGATTAGGTGTATATATATGCAACATTACAAGCAAGGTCAAGAGGTGAGCAAGTGAGGCAAGACAGGCACAAGACCCAGCTGCGTGCAGAAGCGCTGATGATCACAAGGCGCAAGTGCCTTGGTGAAGACATCAGCAGTGTTGGCCTCAGAGACCACGTACGCAAGCCGCAACTGACCACGCTGCTGTAGCTTACGAGCAAGGAAGTAGCGAAGAACAATGTGCTTTGTTCTGTGCTCCAGTCTCAGCTCTCGACACAAGGCCAGCATGGCCTTGTTGTCTACGTACAGGACTGGAGGAGAACGAGGCGACTCTCCAAGGTCGGTCAGCAGGTAGGTGAGCCAGCGAAGCTCCTGAGCAGCCATGGCCCCGGCGTAGATCTCAGCCTCACAACTGGAGCCGAGAACAGAAGACGAGCGAGTAGCCCGCCACGAAACAGAGCCGGAACCAAGGCTAAAGGTATAACCCTGTGACGACCGCTGCGTAGCCTGGTCGTCAGCCCAAGAAGCGTCCGCGTGCCCAGTGAGGACCACTGGACTCCGCCCTCCAAGCACTAGCCCCATGCCCGACGTACTGCACAAGTAGCGCAACACCCTCTTCGCTGTAGCCATGTGCTCTGGTCGGTGTCTCCCAGGAGCAACATAGCGTGCAAGAATGCTAAGAGGGTATGCAAGGTCAGGTCGTGTGCAGGTCATCAGGTACATGAGGCAGCCAACAAGCTCTGGATACGGGCCACTCGACTCTACGGACTCATCCGAAGGCAGAGCTGAGAGCGAGTGGCGAGTAGGCAGAGGAGTGGCCTGAGGCGAGGAGTACGTGAAGCCGAAGCGTTGAAGGACCTGCTGCACCATGTGTGACTGAGTCAGGGTAATGGTGCGGCGTGCTCTGTCCCGGGTGATCTGCAAGCCAAGGTAGCTGCGCAGTTCACCCAGGTCAGTGCACGTGTGTCTCTTCTGCAGCTCGGACTTCACGTAGGCGAGTCCAGCAGTGTCAGCTGTGGCAAAGACCAAGTCGTCGACGTACACGAGGATGTAGAACGGCAGCAAAGAAGTGTCGGTGCGCAGAAACAGCGACGGGTCGGCAGTAGAAGGAGCAAACCCAAGAGCCGCAAGCGTAGTCCTCAGTGTGTCGTGCCACTCACGCGGTGCCTGGCGGAGACCGTAGACTAGCCGCCGGAGACTCCACTGGGTACCAAGAGGGAAAGACCCAGTGAAGCCAGGTGGGCGGTGCAGCCAGATCTCCTCGTGCAGGCTGCCCTGCAAGAAAGCTGTGCTGAAGTCGAGAGAGTGCAGCTCGTAGTCACGGTGAGCAGCAACGTGCAGCAGTACCCGAAGAGTGGTCATCTTCGGGGTAGGGGAGAAGGTCTGAAAGTAGTCAACTCCCTGCCGCTGACTGACGCCACGAGCCACGTAACGCGCCTTGAAGACAGGCGGAGAACTTGGCGGCCGCTTCACCCTGAAAATCCACATGCCACTGACGATGTTCGCCCCAGGAGGGGGGACAGCGTCAACGTAGGTGCCTGTGGACTTCCAGGAAGCCATCTCTGCATCCATAGCTGCCTGCCACTGAGAGGAGTAGGGACCCTCTATCGCCTCCGCGTAAGAGCGCGGAGTCGGGATGTCAAGTGCATCCGGGTCTCCCTCAGGGGTAAGCAGTACGGACACGAGATGAGGTGAAGCAGCTGCCAAGCACTGGAACTCCACTTGCCTGTCCTCAAGGACGTCCGTGCCAAGAGCACACTCACCCCCGACGGACAGAGGACAGACAGACTCAGACTCAGCGACAAGACTAGCAGCGTAGTCTAGGCGACAGCGAGCAGCAAAGTCGACGAGCTCAGCAACTAGGGCAGACGCAGTAGTGGACTCGAAAGAAGGGTCAGTGACGACAGTAGCCAGGAGACGCGTGACAGTAGGACTGGCAGCACGAAGAGAGTCCGACTCCGGGTCGGCAAAAGCAGGAAGAGAGGACTCAGGAGGAGAAGGCAAAGGGGAGGTAGGCTGCAACTGTAACTGTGACGGGACTGGCTGTGGACACTCTAAAGAAAGAGGAGGACCAGTAGAAGGCGGAAGACCAAGAACCTGCCGCAGGAGTGGAACGAAGTACGGTCGAGGCCGCGCGGCGACGCCAGACACAGCAGGTACAGCACCAGTACCCCCAGTAGGTGCACCTCCAGCAGCGCCAGAAGTACCCGCAGCAGGACCGCCAGCAGTAGTCTCAGCTCCAACACTCTCAGCTGCAACAGCTCCAGACGAACCCGCAGGCCCAGCAGCTCCAGTACCCCCAGTACGAGCACCTCCGGGACCCGCGACAGTAGCACCCTCAGTAGCCGAAGAACCTCCAGCACCAGCAGCACGCCTCCAGCGCTGGGCAAACCAGTCACGCAGCTCCCGTGGAGAGAGTGGCTCCCGCAGAGACGAAGCACCCGGAGAACCTCCAGGTGGAGCACCTCCAAGCTCAGCACCCCCAGGCTCAGCACCCCCAGGCTCAGCACCCCAAGGCTCAAAACCCCCAGGCGCAGCACCCCCAGGCTGAGCACCCCCAGGCTCAGCACCCCCAGGCTCAGCACCCCCAGGCTCAGCACCCCCAGGCTCAGCACCCTCAGCAGCACCAGAGTCACCAGTGACCTCGACAGGCTCGACTGCGTCTACCTGGGACACAGCTGAAGGGGACGGACCCTGAGGGGGGAGGGGGTCTACCGGAGGGGGACCTGGTACAAGGAAGAGCGGCGACGGGGGGAGGGACGGAGTGCGGTAGGGGAAGAGGCGGTAGTAGGGGACCGACTCGTCAAACGTGACGTCCTGGGAGGACAGAACACGGCGAGAGGTGGGGTGGTAGAACTACCACCCTGGCGCATCAGGGGGGAACCCCAGGAAGACGCAAGGAGCAGCACGAGGGGACAGCTTGTCCGCAGACAAGTCGCTGACAAACGCCCGAGATCCCCAGACCCGGAACGCCGACGCATCGCCAACCTTCCCCGTCCACAGCAAGGCTGGGGAGGTCTCCGGTCTGGAGACCCTGGGGTGTAGGATGATCTGATGCGCCACGTACCTCACTGCAAACGGCCACAGAAAATGGGGAGCAGCCGCATGCATCATAGACGTACGAGCGACGTCCATGACCATGCCAATGCGGCGCTCAGCAATCCCATTTTGGTGCGGGGAGTCCGGAAGCGTGAAGGTCTGACGGATTCCTCGTGCGCGACAGTAGGCTCTCAGAAGGCCAGAAGAAAACTCTCCGCCTCTGTCCGAATGCAGACGCAGAACAGGAAAGTCCGAGCCAAAGCTCCTCCTGAGCTGGAGATGAGCTGCGCGGATCTAG